TTTCAATATTGTAAAAATCTGCAAAAAGTAGTTTTAAGCGATAAAATTAATTATATATGTGAAAATGCATTCGCAAATTGTGAGCGATTAACATATTTTGAATTTAAATCAAGTAGTACTATTGTTGAGAATTATACTCTTCCTATTTTAACAAATCAGAATTTGAAAATAAAAATTCCTCAAAATAATAATAAAATAATAGCAGCATTTCAATACTATAAAAATAATGCATTAACTTCATTTCAAGTTCAAGATGATATTGAAGAAATTCATAATGCTGCATTTGCATATTCCTCATTAGAAAATATAATACCCAGATTTTCCTTACTTTTACCACTCCCCATGTAATTTCTGTGGAAAACGATAATTCATTTTTTTTATGGATGAATAGATCGTTTTCCTAGAAAGGACCTCATATCTCTGGCTAAAAAGAGTGTCAGATCCTAAATAGATTATTGATCTAGTGTACAAATCCAATAAAAAGCCTATTTTTTTGGCTTTTTTGGTGCTCATTTTTTCGAAGATCTACATGAATATGGGGAAACCATCGGATTTTTTTGGTTAACCCACATCTTCATGTAGTCTGGACTATCTTTCCTCGAAGGACCTCTTTACGGGTGTAAAAACTCATAAAGTTCTCAAAAGATTCATTCTCGATCTCCATGCTGAAAGAATTTACAATAAAAAAGAGATCTACGCATCAAACTACAGCCATAAATGAACTGAACCCCTAAAGCTCAGCTCTTAGTTTATCAAAAACGTCGAAATCCTTCTCATTGCAATCAAATTTTCTCAATAACTCATAAGAAAAATCGAATTTTGATTAAGCCGATGTTATAGGTATCACAAATACTACAAACTTGAGCAATATCGAAATTGCCAGCAAAAGTTTGAAATTGCATTGCTCATATTTGTTTTGTAAACTAAAAATCTGCTTATATTATTCATTAATTTTTTATATATTATTCATATACTTTAATAAAAACAATACTATTTCACCTTAAAAATGAATTTCATAAGTCAATATTATTTTTTTGAAAATGTATCAATTTTCGATTAAAACAACATGAGAATAAAATTTACGCAAAATTATTTTAAAAAATGGTTTTAAAAATTTACAATAGATGAAGAATAAGATTGCAAGAAGTTTTGAAGTTTAATTTTAAGAAAAAAAATTCGGATATTATTCATGGATCTAAGTAATCTGATATTTGAGTATCGGCACTATGCATAAAACATATATTTATAGTTTTTTTGGATTTTTATGATTTTAAATATATTCAAATTTGGCAATCCAATAGATTTTTAAAAAATAGGTAAATAAAAATAGATTACATATGCAGCAGATTTAGAACATGAAACAAATCTTATAGTGACCCAAAAAAAATTCATGATCCAAAAAAGAAAAAAATTGGCTAAATGGGAATCAAACCTTGGCATAATGAATCATTATGTCGGATGTTTCCACTACACCGGCAGTTCGAAAAATACCCTTGGTGGTTCTATTTAATAGCTACTCCCAACGATAGGCGGTGTCCCCAACTTTAGAGAGGTGGTAAAAGTAAGGCAAATCTGGGTATTAAATGAGAAGATAAAGTCTATTCCCGAATTCTGCTTTTATTGTTGTAGTAATTTAGCACAAATTAATTTTCAAGTTATACGAAATATTTCAAATTTTGCATTTTCCAGGATTCATAAATTTGAAAATTTAGTTGTTTCGGCATTCATAATAGGAAATTATTCATTTTATTATACCCCAATAAATAGATTAGAGTTGACAAATGATGTTCACTCAATTGGAGCATATTCATTTGCTTTTTCAAATATTAATGAGTTAATCTTGAGTTCGTCTTTAGAAACAATTGCCACATATTCATTTTTAAACTCCAATTTTCAAACGTTAAATATTCCGCCAAGGATAAAAATTTTAGAAGATGGATCTTTTTCAAACTGTCTCTTACTTAAAACAATTAACAGTTTAATCAATATCGAATATATTGGAGATAATACTTTTGAAAATTGTATTAATTTAACTTCCTTTAATATAACTACTAACAACAATTTAAATTCTTTATATTCATTTGGAAGTAATTCCTTTGCTAATTGTTACAGTTTGAGGTCAATAAATCTTCCAAAACATATGAAGAATATTGGCAATAATGTTTTTAGAAATTGTATTAATCTTGAAACGATTTCATTTCCAAATAATATATCCTATATTGGAAAAAAAAAGGTAGTGGGGCTTCCAGGCACTTCGTGCCCTCTAGCCCCGAAGATGTTTAGTATAAATGAAGTTTTTATTCGGAAAATTGTTAGTCTTCTGGTGTGAATTCGGAGGACTCTTCTTCTTCCTCCATTGCTTCTGGGAAGAAGCCTTCTTCTGGGTCGAAAACATTATATAATGTGTCGCTTTTCACAAATTATATATGTTTTCATGTTTTGTCACTTTTCTGTCACTTTTCAGGGAAAAAACATTTTTATTATTATATATAAATGAATTTTACAAAACCACCGTTACCGTTCTTTGGAAATAAGAGTAAATGTAAAGATATTATATTGAGAGAACTTAAGAAACTACCGAATGGTCTAACATTTGTAGATTTGTTCGGTGGAAGTTTCTATATATCCATTTGTGCCATACAATATTCCCAGACTCAAAGATTATATGCAATGACTTCGACAACTATATGGACCGTCTCAAACATATACCAGACACAAACAATATATTGAAAGAGTTAAAAGAAAAGATACCTATAGGTAAGATGGAACGTATACCATTAGATAACAAAAATATTGTGAGAGAGGTTTTGAAAAAAGCAGAATATATAGACTGGGATAGTATATCTGCTAGACTATTATATAGTGGTTCTATAAGAGTTCATGACATTGAAACACTTATGTCAAAAGTTTTATATCTTAACTATACAAATGTTTTCAAAGAGGACATAGAAAAATATATTGAGGGTATAGAGTTTGTGAGATGTCATTGGACAGAGTTGTATGAAAAATATAAAGACAAGGAAAATGTTTTCTTTATAGTGGACCCGCCGTTCTATAACACATGGGATTTTCAATACCAAGTAGACTGGACTTTGAGAGACTCTTTAGAAACTTTAGACGTTATACATAACCATCCATGCTTTTACTTTACATCCGATAAAAGTGGTTTGGAAACCGTTATGAAATGGTTAGAGGACATACATGACTATGAGTTTAGATATGACAAGATAGAATATGAGAGAGGTCCTATAAACCGGAGAAAGTGTCATAACAAAGAAATTTTATTAGTAAGTAAATGTGGTTTGAAATAGGACTACTTGTTTTAGGTTTTTTCCATTGTGTCATTTATTTCTTTGACGTGGCAGAAAGATATAGAGAATATGAAGATGAACCAATGCCTGCAAATGTTCAGTATATGTACTCGTAAGAGATATTTTTATCTAATATTAAATGGACGCACAGAACTTAGCGAATGCACAGCAACCTGGACAACCAAACCCAGAGAATATTCCAAATGAAGTTAGAATACAAACTGCAATGGCAAACTATGGTCAAGTGCCAACAGATGTACAAATGCAAACTGCCATGTCAAATGACGCTGCGTTAGGTTTGCCACCATGGTATGCAAATATGAGATGGAAAGAGTTTTATACAAACCCTGAAGTGGGATATAAACAACTTTATGCAGATGACGCGAACACAGGAGTTGACCCAGAATATGTTTTCTACCAGAGGAGAAACAGAATGTATGAGCTCCAGTTAAAGAATGCTATGGAACTCAACAGGAAACGCAAGAGACTAGGCGGACATTAGATTTTTACATATAGTAAAATGGGTTTCTTCAGTAAGATAGGAAACTTCTTTCGAAATGTTGGAAGAGGTATATGGAATGGAATAAAAACCGTAGGAAGAGGAATTTGGAACGGTGTCAAAAATATTGGTAAAAGGGTAGGTCAGTTCGTTGGTATTATACCTAAAGACCCTGAACCAGAAGAACAAGTTCCTGTTATACAACAGCCTGAACCTGCACCACAGTCTAGTTGGCAACCAAATCCAACACCACAACCGGTATATTAAAAAATTATATTTTTACCGTTCGATAGTAGTTGTATATGAAACTAAGTTCTAAGTAAAACGCATGGTATAATGGAATTATTCTTTTTCTTCCATCTGTAGTAAACCATACTTGAAAGTCTGAAATACTTCCACTTGGTGGTTCGTATAACTTTGTAGGTTTTTCGTAAAAGTCATTTGCCAAGCATAAGAAAGAGTTTTGGGCGCCAGAAAATGAAGCATGAACAATAATAGCAGCTGGGTCGAAAACATTTTCATATGTTCCATTAGGGTTTTCGACTTCATAAAAGTCTGGGTGTACTGGATATGCTGCAGGCTGATTTAACATCCTCATAAATCTATATCATGCCAAGTTGTTATATTTTGTAGAAATATAAACGTTTTCTCCAAGGTCTTCTATTCTATTGATTTTAACAGTTGCATTTTTCCTGTCATAAATAATATCGAGATGGTATTCTCCTTCGTCAATGTTATACTGGTTTGCATATTCGATATAGATATTGTTTATTTTTTCTTGAAAAGCTTGAAGAGTTGTTTCTAAGTTTACAAGCAAACTAACTTGTAAAAGTTTTCCCTGTTCAAATTTCTCATACATACGTTTTTCTTTGTTATAGTATCGAACTTCAAAACCGACCGTAAATGGGAAACCATGTATGGCTTCTGAAATGAACTTCATTCTACGAAAGCCAATAGCTTTTGTGACAGATGGGTCTCTTAGCCATCTTAATGGGTAGTCAAAACGATAGCCTTCATGCTTTACGGTCTCTGTCTCAAACTTTTGACCGACATTAGTAAAAAGTTCATCTAATGGTTTAGTTGTAGCAACTCTTGAATTTTCTTTTTCTATTGGAAGTATATTTTATCTAGAATAAAAATGTCGAAAGATATTGCTTCCATGAGAGAAACAACACAACCGACAACTCATTATGCAAGCTCTAAATAAGAACACAACAAACTTTTCAAACTATTCTAAGATATCTGAGTCATTGAAAGAAGGAAACTTAAAACTGACAATAAACCCAATGACAGATGAGTTTCTGTTTCAAGACAATAAGAACCATACTGTCTGTATAAATCCAACAAAAGGAAATTTAAACGAGAAACCTATAAATGAACTTCTTTTGAAAGCAGATGTTGACAACAAAGCTGACAAAGAATATGTAGACGATGCAATAGCAAAAGAAGAAGAAAGAGCTAACAATGCTTATGCAACAAAAGAACATACTCATCCTGAACTAGCAGACAAAACATATGTTGACAATAAAATGTCAAGTGAAGTGACAAGAGCTGAAAACGAATATTCTAAAAAGACTCATACACATTCTATATCTGAAATAACAGACTTAAACGTTAGCCTTGAAAAGAAAGCGGATGAGGAATATATGGCTAGTAAGTTAGAGAAGAAAGCAGATAAGGAATATGTGGATGAAAAAGATAATGAAATTATAGAAAGGGCTGAATGGTATCATGAATGGACATCGAAGATTTTAAAAACTAAAGCTGATACAGGATGGGTTTCAGGATGTTTAGACCTTAAAGCAGATAAAACTTATGTTAACGATGAGTTAGAGAAGAAAGCAAATAAGACTCATACACATACAAGTTTTACAACTGTTAGAGCAGACGACATAATACTGAACTTTGACCTTGGTTCAAGTGCACCTTTAGAGAATCCAAGTACAAGCGTAAAAGATACACTAAACAATTTAGATAACAGTTGCAGGAACATTGAAAGTCATGCCAGAAACTTTGAAGCATATGAACTACCCGCAATGTTAGACAAGAAAGCAGACAAAACAGAGCTTCAAACATTAAAGACAGAAATACTTCAAACATTATATCCTATAGGCTCTATTTATACGTCAATGAACTCTACCAGACCAGAACAGTTCTGGGTTTTGGAACTTGGACTCAAATAGTCGACAGGTTTTTGTATTGTGCAAACTCTTCAAAGGAAACAGGTGGAAGTAAAACGATTTCAGGTGAAAATTTACCTGCACACAGTCACTACATAGATTTAAGTACATCTCAAGCAGGTTGGCATAAGCATAGATATTGGGATTGGTCAGCAATGATAAAAGGTAAAGGATATGATGTTAAAGACGACGTTAAGTTTGCTATAAATTGTTACTGGAGTGACACTCAGGGAGGAGGAAACCATACACATCACGTTTCAGGATATACGCAAACAACGGGACAAAGTAAAGACTACATGCCACCTTACATGACAGTTTACGCATGGTATAGAAATGCTTAGTCGTCATTTTCAACTTCTTTAGCATATTCGTCAGGAGTTGTCTTATATTTGTTAGGAACTGTCTTTGAAAGTATACCACCTTGAACTTTGACAAGTTTGAAACGAGGTCTGACAATAGTAGTTTTATCTTCTGCTTGCAGTGTGTACATTTTGCCATGTTTGCCTAAAACTTCATAATATTCTCTTGTATACTTTCTTCTATTTTTACGAACACGAATGTGAGTACCTGTCGGGTTCCATTGTTGTCATAGTCAATAGTATTTTCATATGGGTCGCGTTTAGGTATTTCTATTTTTACTTTGTCACCTTTCTGAAGTTTGAAGCCCGGCATTCTTTCTTGTTTGTCTCTTTTGACTAAATTATTAAATATATAGTCTTTCTCTAAGTCAGGGTTGTTTTTCATTTCTTCGGGGGAGTGGTTTCCCAAACCTTTTTGTTTACGGCTATTGTAAATATTTAAACTTGTCTCATCTTTGCCATGGAGAAGTGTCTATATTTGTCGTCATATGACATTTCTTTTGCTTCACCACCTTGTGGTTGGTTTAAGTCTCTTAACATTTTTATACAACCGTCAATGACACCAAGAGCGAATGGTTTTGGTCGACAATGAAATATTGGTTTACATTTTTTGAACGCAGATAGTTTTTTTACATCATCTGATTTGAAAGAACTTTCACAGTCAGATGTCAGTTTTGTTGGATGGTATTTGTCAACGAATATTGTCAAAGCAGTTTTCACATCTAAAATATTTTTGGACCATAATGGTATGGCTTCACAGTATCTTGTTGTTTTGACGACAAATATTAGCCAGTATGGTGGTCCATCTGTTCTAACTCTCGGAATGTTTTCCAAGATATCCATAAACCAAGCATTTGGTGTTGAACTAAAGATTTTTATCATGAGTGCTTTCTTTGTCGCTTTAGAAACATAGGGGTCTTGTTTGGATTCGTCATTTTTATCCTATAAGAAATGGGTTTATTTGGGGCGCATTAGCAGGAGTTGCATCCAGATTTTTTGCCCGCAGTGGGAACAATAGCCAGAGGTGTATTTGGAGTTGGAAGGAAGATTTTGAGTACATTAGGTATACTTAAAGAGAAAGCACAACCTATTATACAAACTGTACAGAAAGGTTGGGATGTAGCACGAGATGCAACAAATCTTATTCCAAATCCTGAAACAAGAGGAAAAGTTCAAGGATGGATGGACAATGTAGGAAGACAAGCAGGAAACTATTATAACAAAGCAAATGACTACTATAACAAGCAGGACACTATATGGACCAAGGTGAAAGATTCTTTAACAGAGGATATATACCATGCACAACAATGGGTAAACAATAACCAACCTCACCGCCTCAAAACGTGGGGAATGTAAAGTTTTTTATGAGATGAAATGAACAATACAGCATTGAGACAAATGGGTTCAAGATGGATTTGTCGGCTTCCAGCAGTTACACAACGTGTTTGTCAAGTTTTCCTATACTCAGGAAGTTTTAGACCGACTTAAAAAACAACAACAACCAGTTGAAAACAAACCAAACTAAAATTTTTTACTGAGATGAAATGACCGAAGAAGTTGAAACGGTAGATTTGACACACAACAAAAGTTCAGAACCATTGTCAAAACCTGTCAAAGAACTTACAGATGAAGAGAAAAATTCAATAATAGAAAGTGCCAGGTCTGGAAATACAAACCCTAATACTAAAGTCACTTTTCATAAAAATGGAACGGCAAGTATCTCAAAAAAGAAACAGACTCTCACAAATAAAATATTGAAGTCTGAAGGAGCTTTCGAGACAACAGATGGAAAGTTTACTTCACTGACCAACAGTTCATTATAGAACATCTCATTGACTTAGAGTCGAAATATTCTAAACTTTACAACAAACACAAAAGTTGAAAGGAAAACAAAAACAAATGGCATATGATATTTATGAAGATGTTGACGACACAACTGTTCCTGCAAGTGAAGTAAAGTCAGAGAAACAGAAAGTGACGAAAAACCGATAGAAGAAGAAAAACCAAAACTGAAGATAAACCAAAACCAAAGTTTAGTTTGGAACTAAACCAAGTCAACCTTCATGTAGCTGGTATGGGTTGGCGTCAAAGACTTATGGGAGCAGGCGGTTATGTAAAGTAAAGAAAAAAATATTTTTTTTATTTTTATAAAAATGCCCCATATAGAATGGATAGAAAATCTGCTAGAATAAAAGCAGAGTTGCAAAGATATGGTTGGAGAGTTTCGAAGAATTTTAAATATAGGAAGGGAAGACCCATAAAAGTCTATGACAAATTGTCTGGTCTTCGCTACGAAATGGATTTGGAAACAGCACGTGCCAATTATCCAAACAGACTAGAGAGGTTAGAAGAAGAACGTCTTATGGACATGCCTTTCGATGTGTTAAACATTGCATGAAGTAAAAATTTATTTTTTAAAAAGTGACATTTTTTTATTTTATTTGAAATGTACGCTGAGTTTGTTGGAGAAGACCGTTGGGAAACTTGTTTTGTTAGATGAGAAATATGAAATGGCATACCATTTTAAAAACAATATATTTTTACATATATTAAATGCTTCAGGTTGAAAAACAAAGAACAAAAGTAGCAGATACAAAACCGTTAGACTATATCTTTACAAATGCTGGTAGGACTATTTCAGATGAAGAAATTTCATCCCGAGTATACAGGTTTGACTATCCAATTCGTTGGCTTCAAAGTCCTTCATGCAAAGGCAATAGGATTTAGAAGAGTTTTGTTTTCAAATAGAACTAACGCATTTATGTTCGCAGTATATTTTCATGGGCAGTATAAAGGTTCTGATGGTCTAATAGACAAATTTGACGAAATGAGAATCTTTACAGTTCGTTCAGACGAAAGTCTTGAGAAAACTCTAAATGACTTTCAAACTCAAATGAACAAATATTATTGGGAATTTCAAGAAAAATACGACTCTTTACTAAATGGAACATACTATCTGAAACTAGAATATGACAAGAATGAACTCCACCGTTTCATTTCAAAAGATTGAAATTAACCCTCCAAGAGATACAGAGTTTTATTTTGGAAAGTAGACAAACGTTCTTGGGCACAATTTCTTCGGTTACTAAACCAGAACGAACCATTACCACCAGATGGTCCATTTCAATTTATACTTCCACCAGCAGATTTGACAGTTTTATAGAAACGTGTTTGACCTCAAAATGTTATGTGTCATGCAAGTTTCAGTTCAAGCAACAATAGTTTTCTATGTATTGGTAAGGCTTTTATGACTTTGCTTCTAAATTCTACGAACCACCTAGTAACAGTTTCTCTGACTTTCAAGTTTGGTTCACAACAAATGGTGTGCAACATATTATTCCATTGTACTATGACTTTTATCTCGAATTGTCTTTCATATATAACTACGGAAAAGTGCTGAAAAAGTATTGAAAAATAATGTTTATGTTAGCATGTTAGATCTAACACGTTTTCTAACCACTTTTCTAACATCGTAGAAAACTCATGAAAACAATTTATTTTTGACACTTTCACAAAAAACATAAAAAAGTGCAGTTAAACGTTAAGGTTTACTGAACTGGTTGGATGTCGCCTTCACAGGTTATGTAGAACGGCTGACCCGAGAAGTGAAGGAGAGACTGAATTGCCAATTTCATATGGGGTAGGGGGTTCTCCTTGTTTGGTATTTTTATCCAAGGACGTTTGTTTAGGAACTTAACAAGAGCTTCTTTCTTTGCTTGCTTTATGTCGTCGAAAGGAGTGTTTCTGGTATTTGAATTGAATTCCGGTCGAAGTCTCGAGATTCAAGGCAGCCCTTCCAGAAATAGTGGTGAACTGACCTTGGGGGCTTCATGACCTTGCGCAAGTAGTTTTTAACAAGCTCGTTAATTTCAATTAGGTAAATTGCCTCGTCAAATCCTTCTGGCATTCGCGAGTCCTTCCATCCGACAGGAAAATATTTTCCCGACAACTGGAAAAAATTTTCCGGACAAAGGGAAAAATTTTTCCCGACGACAGGAAGAACTCTTCCAGTTGTCCGTCCGTAAACCATTCAAATTTTCGAAAATTGAGAACTTTTGGTCGAACTTCAGAAAAAGTTTTTCCATCCGACAGGAAAAAATTTTCCTTCCGACAGGAAAAGTTCTTCCATCCGACAGGAAAAATTTTTCCTTCCGACAAGGAAAAGTTCTTCCTTCCGACAGGACACAGAACGAATGTCCGATGTAACCAGCCGAACCCAGTCCATTCCCAAACCAGAGGGAACCTAAAGAACCACAACAGTCTCCTCAGCCACCTCAGTTCCAGCAAGTACCTTCCGATTTACTACCAATTTCAACCTCAAGGTTACTACCACCACAAGGCTTCCCGAACTACGGACCGCTCCTCAGCTATGGCCTTACTCCCAACCCTTGGATGTTCCCAGCAAGCTCCACCAGCAATTCAATCTTCAATCCAATCGAAGAGAGACCAAGAGTTCGAAGAAGGTCTGAACCGCTTACGCAAAGAGTATGCCACCAGCTCCAATTGAGAGAAAGTTGTTCCCGGACCCAAAAATAATGTTTAGGGTAGATGGTTAGATCTAACCGTCATTTCTAACGCTCATTTCTACCCTCTTGAATTTTCATTAATTTCCTTAAGATAGAAAAATAAAGTTAGTTTTAGTTTTTTATTTTGTATAAAAGATATGTTCAGGGATTTTTTTGACGAGTGTAAATCTTCACTTCGTCAAAAAATAACAAGTTTTATCTAATGAAAAAGTGTCATATTTTTCCAATTTGGACGAGAATGTCGGGTAGCGGTGGTTAGATCTCACCTGTTTTTTCACTCTTTTTTTCACCTCTGTCAATTTTCATGACTTCTTCGTAAGTTTAGAATTCTTGTCAAGATATTCTGTAAGCTTTGGAAAGACTTCTTCGTAAGAAGTGGTAAAAGGGACCAAAAATAATAATTTAGGGTAGATGTTTTAGCCAGTCTAACTCATTTCTACCCTCGATTTCTACCAGCTCTTGTGAATTTCTTTGTTTCTCGAAATAAAAATAAGTTAGTTTATTTTTTTTATTTTTTTTATTTTGTATAAAAGATATGATTTCAAAACAATCGGCACAACAACAATTTCAAACAACAGCACCAAACTCGTTAGTCCATGAATCCAACATCTATGTTAGTAGAAATGAAAAGCTTCATTCTTCTTCATATACTTTTTAAACAGAAATCCAGAAGATAAAGGCAAGGAACTTTTAACAGTAATTTAGACTGTAGTGCGAAAGATGAAACAAATGAACAGTATTCTTTATGAAAATGCAGGACCCAAGACCATTTACCAAATTCCTGAAATCCCAACAAAAAAACTCACTATTCCTGAATTCGAAAATAATGAAGTGAACACAACTGACTCAGTAGAAAATAGAAAGTTCATCGAAAGGTAAACTATGAGTTTCCTAGATTTCATTGCACATCAAAAGGTATGGACAAAGATTGCGACATGGTATATAAGCAAATGTTTCTGACATATATAAATCTGAAGAATTTAAGACCTACGACAACTTTGTTTCGTTTAGTTTGCTGAATGTGGTATGGCAGCATAACGATGATAAAGATAGAAGAGGCAAAGTATGGAACAACAAATAAGACCCGCTATGTTTGAGATGAAGAGAGCAATTGACGCTTTATGTTTTTTAGCTGGGTTTTATTTCAATGTATAACGCAAAATGAACCCCATATGTTCTAAATGTAAAGCAGCAATGACGGAATATAACCTACTCCGTCAGAGAGATAGAACGTATGAGAAACGAACC